ACAATCTTTGCCGCGCCTTGAGTTGTATGGAGCGCTACTGCTGATCCGCCTCATTCTATCAGTCAAGGCCGGACTACAACGCCACAAGGTCAACGTATATGCATGGAGCGATTCTACTATCGTAGTTTCATGGCTAGCTCATTCGCCGTCACGACTAAAAACGTTTGTTGCCAATAGAACTTCAGAGATACTTGACATCATACCACACACTGCCTGGCGACATGTCATCTCTAAAGAAAACCCAGCTGATTGTGCATCAAGGGGCAAGCTAGCGGCTGATCTAATTAACTTTGACCTTTGGTGGAATGGACCATTGTGGCTGCACGATACGAAAGAATACATGGTAAAGTTACGAAACGCACAAGTCTGTTCTTCTTTTTCAGATATACAAGCAAACGACGAATTGAAAACAACAGTTTTGGTCATCATGTCTACTACTACTCTCACAAAGTCACCACTCGATGAGCTTGCAGGACGGGTGTCCTCATGGCAGAAGCTGGTTCACATTGTTGCATACGTTATGCGCTTCATCCGTCGCTCCAAATCAAGACCTCTTTCCTTTAAGGAAGTTCAAGCAGCACGTTTTTATACTTACGGTACGCGCAAAAATGCTTTGACGATGATCGTCAACAAATACTGGAAAAACAACCACTTCGGAACCAGTCAAAGCTACGAAAACTATTACCAATAATTTGCAAGGATGGACTCCTACGAGTTGGCGGACGATTGGACAATTCACAACTGCCGATGGATTCCAAACATCCAATCTTGCTACCAAAATCACATCGCATCACACTACCAATTCTTCAACATGAGCATTGGGTAAATTTACATCCTGGTGTTTCTGCACTATTTGTCATCGCTCGGCAATAATACTGGATTCTTGGCGCACGCAATCTTATTCGTAAGATCACACACGAATGCAGCAATACATGGCCGATCTACCAGCTGTTCGAATCACGCAAGCACTTCCATTCGAAAACACAGGCTATGACTACGCTGGTCCCATTATTCTTAAAGAGCATCGCGGACGCAATCCACGTATGAGGAAGAGTTACATATGTCTATTTGTATGACTTGTTACATCCGCGCTTCATCTGGAACTCGTCACAGATTTAAGCACTGACACATTCATAGCAGCGCTACGCCGCTTCATATCGCTACGAGGAAAATGTGGACAAATCTATAGCGTCAACGGTAGGAACTTTGTTGGCGCAAAAACCACACTGGATGAGATGCATCAATTACTGGCATCAGAAGAACACAAAAATAAGGTCTCGCGCACATTGGCAGACGAAGGCATCAAATGCAATTTCATTCCGCCACAGCCGATCCGATCGAACGCACACAGCGCAAAATAAATACAGTCCACTATTAACACAAACTGATAATAAACATAAGTGACCATTTAAAGGCATTGACATTTTCGTATTATTCATTCATAATCGGTCTTTAAACACATTTTACTTGCACGAATTTGCAGCAATCAAACTTATTAGAGCTTTATGTTCAATTGTTGGCACAGAATACCTGTAAGCTCTCAAAAGAGTCCACCGAAACTTCCCTGGATTCCGACCGACGATCACCCATTAGGCAAGCCAGACAACAGTACCACAAGTAGGGCAGGGGGATGGTACACAAGACAGCAGCTCCACTGTCCAAGCGAGTACCGTAATAGGGGGGTGGTATGCAATACGACGCCAAATCCAAACAAGGCAGTAGCAAGATGGTATCCAAAATATACCAGACTCAAACAAACGAGTACGAACGAAAACGATTAATATTAAGAAAACCGATGTCCGCTCGGGCGCCAATGAAAAATCGCTAGGTTTTCAGCGATAAACAAACGAAACTACTTTCTATTAAATAAGTGACAGGCGGAATTCTTTGATTATGAATATGGCTTTAATAGCTTGGAATTGTATGGAACGATGTTTTAAGTGCGAGTATTAACAAACGAGTGATTTGCCTGCTGCCGCTACAAGTCAGCGAACCAGCATACGAAAGAATGTACAAGGAAAAGAGAGCGCACTAGAGAGACTTAAAAACTATACAAGGTGCTCCAACACAACATTTCATTTTGTAACATTTTCAGCTCTCGCAAACCTCATATACTCTTGTACATTTTATGTACACATGCCAAGTTGTAATCGAACTTTAAAGCCATTCAAAACAAAAACACTAATTGTTTTGCTTATAACCTGATTGATGGTGTTGATGGCGATTTTGAGCCGTGATAAAAAACGCTACAGTCGAGCAATCCCGACAGTGAAATACTCTGTACCCTGACAAACTTCAGGCACTGAGTTATACAAGGTGCGTTCCAAAGTAAACTGGATTTTTTGAATCTGGTGGCGCTATCTATATGTCGACTGGTGCGTTAGAATCTGCTATCTTTATCGATTGTCCAATAAGAATTTCATGACATTTCATCGATTGGAAGTGTCAGTATGTTTGTGTTATCGGTGCGAAAATGAGCTTCGAACAAAGAGATAACATTAAATTTTGTTTTAAAATTGGTAAAACTTTTACCGAAACGTTTCAATTGATGGAACAAGTTTATGGCGATGATTGCCTATCCCGTAGCAGAGTGCACGAGTCGTTTCAACGTTATCAAAGGGGTCGTGAGGACATAAATGACGATCAACATGTAGGCCAATCAAAATTCGGGATCACCGAAAATTCCATCGAAACTGTGCGCGAATTTATCAAAAATCATCCGAAATCATCATTGAAATTGATGGAAATGGAATTGAACATATCCAAAACATCGATTTATCGCATATTGACGGTTTTTCCGCACAAATTGACTGACCAAAAATTATTCAGAATCCAACATTCGAAGGACATCATTAAAGAGGTCAAAAAGAACAAAAATGTCCTTTACAATATTGTGACTGGTGACGAAACGTGATGTTTCCAATATGATCCCGAAACGAAACGCCAGAGTGCTGAATGAAAGGCACCGGACGAGCCGAAACCTAAAAAAAAGTGCATGGAGAAGTCTACAGTGAAGACAATGCTGATTTGTTTTTATGATTCCAAGGGTATTGTCCACAATTGAATTTGTTCCACCCGGCCAAAACGTTAATGCGGAATTCTACCTTGGAGTTTTGAAGCGTTTAGTATGCCATATTCGACGTGTTCAGCCCGAATACCGCGAAGATGAAAGTTGGCGTTTGTTGCACGATAATGCGCCGTCTCATAGATCGACGCTTGTGACCGATTATTTGACCAAAAATTACATTTTAACCATTAACCACTCGCCGTATTCACCTGATATGGTACCGTGCGACTTCTACCTTTTCGGAAAAATGCATTTGCCCATGAAAGGAAAGCGTTATGCAGATGTAGAGGCCACACAAAAGGCTTGCACCGGCATACTGGCGGCGATACCGACCAACGAGCTAAAACACTCGTTTGACATACTTTTGGATCGTGCAAAAAGCTGTATTGAAGCAGAAGGAGACTATTTTGGATAAATTAAATTGATTTTGCCGAAAAAAACATTTGTTGTTTTTTATTTTGAAAAAGTCCTGTTTACTTTGGAAAACACCTTGTATTATTTTTACCATGTTCATTCTAATCTAATAACATGTAAATTGGATTATATTCAGCCGTAATATGGAAAATCGCACCGACCACGATTCATTGGATTTTCAATTAACTTTCTTCACCCATGTACCCAAAGGGTAAAACGGAATACTTAATTAGAACGAATTTATTCATATGTATGTATGTATATCGATCTCCAACAACAAGGACTAACCCAAGTTGGTATCAAAGTTCTCCTAAACATGGAATAAGATTAGTTCTTCATATGCATCCCACCCTAAAATAGTTTTCATTCCTTACTCCCGTAATCCTTGCAAAAATTTGACAAATTTTGCATTCCGTTAGTGCCTTTGTCTTTAGCTACAGTTGCTTCTGATTTGGAGACGAGTCGATCTAGCCCTAGATCTCAAAAACTATAAGACATAGAGACACGAAATTTTGCACAATAATGCCTTATATGTGTTCGCCATACGAGTGTTTTATATTTTTTTTATTTTCCCCGCAATGGTGGATTTTCGGAAACGCAGTTCATATAATCATCTATATCTCGAAGACTATAAGCCTAGGGACACAAAATGTTATTCCACGAAGCCTTATATGAATTCGCAGAAAATGCGTATTTTTGAATTTAGCACCCTCCGTCATTCTTGAATTTTTGGATCAAATTTAGCAAAGATCTCCATTTAGTGATTATGAGTCTGTTTGCCATCATAATAGACCGATTTTAAAGGAACGTTTACCCATAAATGTAATCTTCGCAAAAGCGCTCCCCGCAGCTGTTGCTGCTTTAGTTCAACATATACTGCATACATACACTTATTGATGCAATTCATATGTATTTGTGTAGTTATACACCCTTTAATTTTTTTGTAATATTTTTAATTTCTTTAATTGTTCTATACATATGTAAAGAGAATTTCAAAATCGGGACACCCGACTGCGGCTTCTCCACTTGTTTTTATAAAATCAATCAAGAACTCGCCCTTTTCTTTCGGGTTGAGATCTTTTATGTTTCGACTGAGCCGGACAGGAATGAATTGGGACAATGTCACGAATGTATAAAAATTTTTATTAAAATAAATACGGCAATTTCCCTAGTATCACCTACTCATTTCCAATTTTATGTGTAATTTTGAATTAGAATTTCTAAATTATGCAAATAAAAACCATCTGCAAATTTAGTTTGGAATAATTCTATTTTTAAATGTATGATGTAATAACAATAAGTAGAGTAAAAAGAATCACGTGTTATTATTATTTTGAATAATAAAATCATAATATACGAGTAATTTCAACTTAATTATAAATATATGTGTACATTAATATAATTATAATATAATTAATTACATGTTATATATATATATATATATATATATATATATATATATATATATATATATATATGTTTAATGTACACAAATACAATTACAATTTATGAACACTACACGTGCAATCCTTACAGACCTGCCTATTTGCCTATTTTTTTCGCTTAAGCCTAATTACCGACTGCAAGTTAATGCATTTCTTCATTTAACCATTCAAATTAGACTTCATTCACAGTATTTGTTTTAGATATGCGGCATTATATATATGTATAAATATCTCAAATCATTATTGCAAAGACATACATAATGGAGTTATAATTTTTTTTTCTTTTTTTTTTATTATGTTTTGTACTATGTAAGTCTTTATTAATATTTAAAAATTAACTGCAAAAATTGCAGAATAAACCAGCATTATGAATTTTTTGTGAGCAAATAAAATAATACCGGTATTTTTCTGTGTTAACATTTGATTTTACATTGTCACATGACATATTTATTCTACAGCAAAACCACATGTTTCCTCTACAGCTTGTGTCAGCTTGTCACAGAGTTGCTGATAACTTTCATAGGGCGGCAAATCAATACGATTAAAGCACGTGTGCGCCTTGGGCAAATTCTGTGTAGGCACATCCGCCGTAAGGTGTATGGTAAACAGTCGCGGACCCACTGCACCTGTTGAGCCTTGCAGCGCACGAAAGCCTTGTAGTGGAACACGTGACGAACCGGTGACGAATTGCAACAGTCGTGCACGCATTTCAGAGGTGTAAGACTCGACCACCTGCAAAAAAAAGCATGTTTTAGGCATTCAATCAAATAGTTTACAGTCGAGCTTTTTTTTAGAAATTGCAACAAAGTGTAAATAAAATAAAATATCGATAGGTTAAAATTCGGAAACACTGTTCTGCGCTTTAATTTTATTTATGTACCCTATACAAGCAGGGTAAAAAATTTTGATTTGTACAAGTGTGGAAAAACTGGAACACCAAAATGCCACGCGTCAACAGCCTTAACGACCTAAACGGTAAAAGCTAGGAAGAAAAAAATATATTGCACATAATAGAATTAATTTTTATAAAATATTGTTCACCATGCTAATTTTGAAATCGTAGCGTGTCGGAATGAAAAAAGCCTGCTCATGCCTCTCTCTAACGAGCATAAAAGTAGTATAGCCAGTGAGTAAAGTTGAAGGCTGTTTGTTTCAGAGTATGGCCATTACCGTATTGAATTAATTCAGGAGCTCTAGCTATCTGCTACAAACGAAGGCTGTGGTCACAAAATACAAAAGACATACCTATCAGATCATGTTGGATCATTCAAATCAAAACAGCGCTTGTCTGACTGCTTTGTTATGAACAAATGGGGTTTGTTTACTTCGTTTATGATGATCGACGAATGAATGAAACTATCGAGACAAACTAGCATTAACGTATGATCGAAATAGACTAAAGATCGACTATTACTCGAGTCTGATCTTAAGTACTCAGGTCCGATCGTATGCATGAATGTTTTGTTTATAATTATGCGCAAATATAAACATATATGTATCAGAGAACTGCATACTTATACTCATACGCCCACAATACAAATATTGCGTGCGCAAGAAACGATGAGAGAAGAGTTGACAAAATCAATGTGATGATTAGTGAAGCAAAGACCAAGTACAACGCATGTGTATAACGGCGTTTTTCTTATTCTTTCTCATTATGAAGTAAATAATTTGCATTGTTTATGTTTTAGCAATATGTGCAAACAAATGAAAATATTAGTACATATTTACATACAAACATATACATATGTATATTAGTACATACATATTAGTATATATGTATGTACATACATATTAGTACACTAGCATTGCCCGTATTAACCCGGCTCAATATAATATTTCGAATTGTATTTATTGTATTCTATTAACATATATGTTTTTGCCTTATTAGTTATCAGTAGGAAGGCATTTAAGGTATTTAAATTTTCTGTTCTTGACAAAAAACTGTTCAGATAGTCCGTTACATTTTTGTTCTTGTAACTAATATTTCTTTAAGCTCGTTTTCCCCCCTTTGAGCTCGAATTTTCCAAAAGCCTTTCTTAGTGCGCACCTACACTATGTTGGATACTATGAAAGGATACTTGAGTCCAAATTTTAGCTACCTAGCTTTTACAATTTGCTGGAGTAAAACTTCCGATAGTTGAATCCACCGATACTATCGATATCGATACATCGAAGTTTGAATGCAATAAACAGAATATCTAAATACTAAATAATAACATCTTAAAATTTATTGAGATCAATTAGAACAAATCATATACATATGTATGTAAGTACATACATACATCTGCCCGCAATGCGAAGCAGAATATGCGTAGCTCTGTTATCGCTTCCTCAGTCGTTGCCTAACGACGGTAACTGTAAACTTTTGGTATTTTGCTTTTGAAATTAAAATGCGTATGTATATGATAAACAAGAAAGGAATACTAAAGTAGAGCGAGTTCAACTCTTAAATATCCTGTACCTCCCACGAAAAAGGAAAAATGAAAAAATAATTTTTTATTATTTTAAAAAAATATATTAATTAAATTAAGGGCATGGTCATGTACGTTTTCAACAGCATACATTTACATCAGTATCGTGACTCTGCGTGTTTATATGCGCGTGTATGTATTCAGCACAAAGCTGAACCAAAGCAGCAACAACAGAGCTACAAGAATGGGCAGCGATTTTGTTTATGGCTATAACTTACTTCAAAATTGACCTATCATGATAAAATTTGGCATACAGACACATAATCTAACTGGGTGTATATTCCAAATTTGAGTTCAAAATTCCAGGAATTACAGTAGTTATGAAAAACATGAATTGCGGTGTAGTGAGGGGTGTATCAGAAAAAATAACACAAACTCGTAATTTCTCGGACTCAGGAGAATCTGAATACTGAGTTTGGTTATTCTAGCTCTTGTTCTTTCTGAGATCCTTGCGTTTATACAGACGGACAGACAGACAAACAGACAGACATTCGCACGAAATTAGTATAGCTGTTACCTTTTGGGTACAGGCTATAAAAAATGTGAACCGAAGAAAAATAGCGTGGCAATGACTTGCAGTTGCCGTTGTTGTTTTTCGTTATAAAAATTTCATTTATGATTTAAAACCATAGAAAACTTTTTATTACAATTAAACAATAATGTTCGATGGTCCACTGTATATATACATACAAACATATACAGTGGCGAACACATGTGGATACATGTTTATCACTTTTCGTCTATTATGCCTATGAAATCTTTAAAAATGAATCAATCCTTGTAATCCTTTTTTTGTTTTATTGTTTGTGATATTGTTCTTTCGACGCTCTATAAAGTTTTTTTTAAAGAGTTCATTTTTCAAATAGCAACAAGTAAAAAAGCTAAAGTCGGGTGTCCCGACTTTGAAATACTCTGTACATATGTTTACAATAATTATAGAAAATAAAAAAAAATAAAATAAAATAAAAAAAAAATTGGATTGATTTTACCTCTCTCGGTATTCGAACTCACGTAAAGGGCTTATAATTGCACATTTACATAGCAATTGCGGTTGTGTGAGTGTATGTATGCCTATGCGCATCTATTCGTGTCTGTGGAAGCATTTTCGCAGTCAACCAAACAGCAACATCAACAACAGCCGCGGGCAGCGCTTGAGCAGCGCTGCAGCAGCAAATATATTTATGGCTATAACTTCTTGTTAAATCGGTCTATCATAGTGAAACTTGGCATACGGACACATAATTACTAACTGGGGGTATTTGCAAAATTTTAGTTCGAAATTCCAAGAATTACGGGAGTTAGAGAAAATCGCATTTGCGGTGGAGAGTGGGGAGGGAGGGAAATTCCAAAATATACATTTTCTGCGTATTCACACAAGGCATCTTGGACTAAAATTTGGTGTGCCTAGGTCTTATAGTCTCCGAGATATAGGCGATTATACAAATGGAAAATCGGGAAAACCCCCATAGGGGGGAAGTGGGGGGGAAAATCAAAAAAATTAAACAAACTCGCATAGAATACACACATAACGCATCTTTGTGCAAAATTTGGTGTCTCTATCTCTTATAGTCTCTGAGATCCAGGTGTTCATACGGACGGACAGACGGACAGACAGACAGACAGACAGGGCTAGATCGACTCGTCTTGTCACGCTGATCAATAATATACATACTTTGTGGGGTCTGCCACGCCTCCTTCTGTCTGTTACATTTTTCAGCTCCCGCAAACCTAATATACTCTTGTACATTTCATGTACAGAGTATAAAAATAGTACAATAATGGTTATACGTACATACATACATATGTACATATCTTCGTTACGCACCGGACGGACTGCCAGTCCTGACTAAACTGTGTGCTTCCTCAGCACGTTGTACGCACGATCGAGTTATCCCCGAAAAGTCCGACGCGGGACATTTAATTTTGATTTATAAATCGGGACGGCCCGCCAAAATTGGAGCGTTCGGCAACGCTGATATGTACATACATTTAAATTTTCATGTAGGCGTTATCCGCCTATATACATACATACATACATACATATATAAATGAATGTACATACATGCTATATATGTACGTACACAGGCATACAAACATACATATGTATGTGCATACATGTTTCTCTTTACTTTTTCAACCGTACGTAGAGAACCGCACACATAGACACGAACCTTTGCTTGGTCTGTGTGGGACTGTGTGTATATGATGTCCCCAACTATTTGATATATGCATTTTTTGTAATTTGTATATACATATAAAGTATATATATATATAAAGTTACTAATGAAAACCCTAATGCCAAACGTACTAAACAAAGAAAAAATTACTTTTAAAAATGTTAAATAATTTTTAATTAATTAACATTTCTTGCTCTGTCAGTGCAAGACGAATGAACATACATACATACATAGATGTATACATGTACATAGATGTGTACATATGTATGTGTGTACATTCACACATTAGTGTCGCACATTTTGCTTTGGCTATTTCAATCATTTGCACGCAACTACACGAACAGCTGCTTGTATGTGTGTGTATGTATACTTAGTTGTCCCCAACTGTTTTATATTTTGTATTGTTTGTTCTGCCTGCATTTGTAAAATGCATATTTTGAAAAACCTTGAACGCAAAGTTGTAGATTTAGTTACGTAGATTACAGTCCCCAAACTTTTAATTTGAAAAGGTGAATAAATATTAAAACCCCAATAATTCAAGCTCCACCACAAATCGAAAATCCGAGTATGCAGTTTTGTTTGTATTCTTTTACAGAATTTAAAAATCCAATTTAAAGTTGATTGGTGGAAAACTGAAGATTTTTCAAACAAACTTTGGAGCTAGTTTTCCCCCCTTTTAAGCTCGAATTTTCCAAAATCCCTTCTTAGTGCGCACCTTCACTATGATAGGATACTTGAGCCCAAATTTCAGCTTCCTAGCTTTTACCGTTTGGGCTGTGGGCTTTTGGCGCGGTTTCCTTTTGTGCCCCAACATTTTTTTTGCAGGAAAACTCTCATATTTCAGGCCCCAAAAATTTCAAAAAATCAAGTATGCAGTTTTTCTTGAAATTTGTTTGGGAGTATACAAACTAAGTTTGAGGTTAATCAGATGTAAATTGTAGAATATTCATACAAACTTTGGAGCTCGATTTCCCCCTTTGGGGCTCAAATTTTCCAAAACCCCTTCTTATCGCCAGCCTACACTATGAAAGGATATTTGAGTCCAAAATTTCACCTTCCTAGCTTTTACCGTTTGAGCTGT